TGGAAAAACACAGCACTTACCTTACCCAAACAAGCACTTCACCATGGAAGGACATAACCCCGATCACTTCTACAAAAGGGACACTGAGTGCCTTAGGAAACTCATGTGCACAGATACTGCACTATGATTCCACATTATGGTTAGAAGATAAGACAGGCAGTGCATGTGGGAAAAACCCAAGGAGTTCTTATCACCATTCACACACTGGAAACTCAGTAAATGATGTCCTATAATCATGGTCTGAAGGTCCACTCATCCATTTCTCTGGCACCTTTCTCCTCCACCCTATCTGCCCAGTTTGGTGTACTGGTTAAGTGCATGGACTCTAATCTGGGAGAACCGGGTTTGATTCCCCACTCCTCCACTTGCACCTGCTGGATGACCTTGGGCAAGCCATAGTTCTCATAAGAGCTGTTCTTGAAAAAGAGCCATTTCTGTCAAGAGCTCTCTCAGCCCCACCTACCTCACAAGGTGTCTGTTGTGGGAAGGGGAAGGGGAAGGAGTTTGTAAGCCGCTCTGAGACTCCCTTGAGTAGTGAAGGTTGGGGTATAAATCCAATCTCTTCTTCTCGTCTTCTAACCCTGCTGCTTATTTCGACACTTTCATATCTTTCATTGCAATCACTTCTATCTGCGGTGCCTAACATTAAATCATGCTTCACTTTCTGCAGACTATGCTTCAGATTGACAGAACCCCTTGTTCCAGTTGCTCTAATTCAGGGCTTTTCTGGTAGGAATTGCAAAGCTTATTTGGCTGTAAGTAAGTGCTTTGGTTTGGGGATGGATTGGGGGGAACATTGGTGGTAGGCCCCCTGAGAAAAACATGGGCCCCCTTAGCAAAACGTTGTTAGCTACGGGCCTGCTCTCTCTTCTACCTCTTCCACCTAGGAGGGTCTCACGCTTTCTCCTCTTCTAACCATGTCCTCTTTCCCAGCCACTAGTTATCTGCCTCCTGTCTCACTAGACTCCACCTTCTCAACGACACATGCAACTCTCTCTCCATCTCCCCCTTTCCATCTTCTACTCCTATAAGCCCCAGTGGTTTGCTTTGGCTCTGAGCCCCAACCTGAGATCTCCAATTTCACTCCTACTCCCTTCTCTCATCCCCTGCATAGCCTCTGGGTCCCATCCTAGACACCCTTCTCTCTTGAATACTCTCTTTTTGTCTGTCCTTGTCCATCACTCACTCTTT